AGCTGATGGTACGGATTCTTTGATCCCACAATTGGTGATGTGCAGAGACTGTTTCCAAACTCCACTAACCAGTGAATAACCTTGATTCCTATTGTTGATGAACACTACTTTGTAAATAGGCAGGATGTGAAGGGAAATTTGGGGTGATTAACTGTTGCCTTCAAAACTGTTTTTGCAGCAAGTCACTCAAGTCTCCAAAGGGGAATAGTGCTTGGTGGTTGGCTTTAAATTACTTATGACACCATGTACTTTCTGGATGGGAGGAATTTATTTTCATTGCCGCTTTTCCAGCTCACTTCCAAGGCCTTGCTTCTGAAAAAGTGTGTTCTAGTTTTGAGAAGGTGGCACTGGACTCGTCATGTCTAATGTGGAGAGCTGTACCCCTTAGTGTAGAAATATGTTTAAAAACCTGTCCTCTGTGTGTGGTAACTTGAGGGGCCTTTTGTTACAGGAAAACGTGGGTGTTGGATGGAAGCCCAGCTAGGGAAAGCTAAACCCAGCCCTGCCCCTTCTGCTCGAGGCCCCACCTCTAGACCCAAGCCCCGCCCACTCCCAGCCTGATCCTGCCTGTCCATGTGGAGAACTGGGGCTCTCATGATGCCCCTGACCTGGCCCTCCCTTGCACCCAGGGAAAGCCACACCGTCCCACCAGGGGCCCATCCTCTCCAACCCCTGCAGCCAGGCTGCTGAGCTGAGCTGGCAGCCGGGGGAGCCAGGCGGCTGCACCGCAGTTCCAACTTTCCCCAGGGCAGCCCCTGCTTTAGGCAGTCAGTAATGCAGGCAGTTTTGGGAAGGCTACACCTTCCTTTACCTACATTACTGACTGCCCATGCAGGAGGATGTAACAATTGACTCTTATAATAGGTTGGAGACATTGCAGAAAGCCACAGTATGAGAGGGGGAATTGACCCAATGAAATTTCCTCCTGCATAAAGGTGGGGAGAATGCATGAGCCCTCCCTTGATCTGCCCTCCCTTGATCCGCATTTGCCAACTTCTTCATAGTAATTTAATGCTGAGCACTGTTGTTCTAAGCAAACTGACTGGCATTTTCCCAGTCCTTTCCCAGGGTCAGAGATCCTGTTCTTTCTGATAACTATCCATATTGTAACTTATTTTCCTGGTTGAATTAAGATTTATAGGTTTCCTATGTACAGCTCTATCAGTGACATGGAGTAGTTGCCTTTTCAGCCTCTCCTCTTTGCATGCTATTTTGAGAGCAACATTTGCTATGCACTTCCCAAGGCGAGTCATGCTGTGAAAAGAACTGCTTGCTCCTCTTCATGCAAATTGCACAGCACAGAGACAGCTCTTGAAACATATTGTGTTTCTCCATGTGGGTTAGACGACTGGATTTGCTCCACTCTCCCGGTTCTGACTGTGTGAGCTGCCTGCAGGTGGAAGTAATGGCAGGCTGGTCTGTAACCTGAGCTAACTTCCATTTTGTAATTCCTGGGCAAGGCAGATTGATCCATGAACTGCATCTTAACAGAATTTAGGTTTTTTTTTCTAAAACACAATCAAGTGGAAATCAAACTTTTTGAAGCGGGGGTCTCTGAGCTTTAGTTCATTTTAAAAATACATGCATCATGTTTACCCTTATTTGCTGGCCTGAACTTTTACTCTGCTGGACAGCAGCCAGCTCATAAAGAATGCCTTTGAAAACGTGGAGTCAGGCAGCGTGGCTCACATGAAACTGTACAGGGAAAAGGCTCCATTTGTATCTGACCTTACATGGAATGCTTAGGAGAGGTGTTCTGTGTTGCATCAGTTCTCAAACTTTTCCATACATCAGCCCACATCTTAGTGGAGTATCTTGTGAACACCTCCCCTCCCATCTATGACCACACGGACAATCTTCTCACCCATTCACAATTGGGTACTAGCTTTGTGGCCACCACAGCAAATATTTGCAAGGAGAAGTAACAGGGAAGTATTTGTTTAAGCGCTGCCATGTAATGAGCTATAAAAAGAGCTGGAAAAGAGCCAGCAATTTGTACCTATCCTATCCCGTCTGTACAGATGGTCATCAAACGCTTCAGAGCACAATCACTCTTGAGACCACAGCTTGGGAATTGCTTTATTCTTGTACTATCACTACTTTAATCCTCCATTTTCATCTGATTGGCACAAGAATTGTAATCATCACTCTGGTACAAGATATTTGGCCTTTGTATAGACCAACATATTTTTCAATTTGGCATTTATTTGCCTTGGCCAATTTTAGGTGGTATTAGACAAGAGGATAATCTGAGCTGTAATAATTTTGTGTATATGGAAAGACGTGTAGAGAATATTTCATGTAGAAAGAAACCTAGTTGCTGAACCTGTTAATGTTACTTCTGTGGCTGCAGAAATAACATGGTCTCTCTCTTACCTTTCAGAGCAAAGTCGGCGAGATGACTTGGAAGCCCTTGGTCATATGTTCATGTATTTCCTTCGAGGCAGTCTGCCCTGGCAAGGGCTCAAGGTACGTGTTAAAATGTATCACTTAGCCAATTTTAGATGGTAAAACCTTCTTACTTGGCCTTCTCTACATGAAGGTGAATGTTTTAGGGAAATTTGAGCAAAATCTTTTCCTTCTCTTTGAGATTCAGGAAGTGAGTGGGAGCACTCTTCCGGCTGTGTGTGTTTAAAACCAATCACACATAGTCATAGTAAAAACAACCAAAGATGGAAGCTTTGTGAAGATACAATTTTCGCGATGAACTAATCTCTCTGCTGTGCATGTGTGGAAAACCATTGGGATATGATTGACAGCTATGAATGTTTTGAAAGCTGCATATAGAACATGAGCACTTAAAAATTAACAATAAAATTAAAAAACAACAAATAGACTTTGTAGCACCTTAAAGAAAACAAAACATGTAGCTGGTGTCATGAGCTTTTGTGAGCACAACCCGTCTGAAGTAGGTTGCGCCCATGAAAGCTCATGACACCATCTACATGTTTCGTCAATCTTTAAGGTTCTACTAGACTATTTAAGTTTTTCCTGTTACAGACTAACTCGGCTACCCCTTGAAGGTTTTAAAAATTAAGCTTACACATACAGTAAAACTCCAGTTGTCCGGCATCCAGTGGTCTGGCACTCCTGATAGTCTGGCACTATCTGGAACCCGGAAGTGCTCCAGACAGCTGGACAATTGGAGCTGCTCTGACCCGGGCTTCCCAGAGTCAGAAGCCGCTGGTCAGTTTCAGCAGCAGCTGACTTGGGGAAACCTGGGGCAGAACAGCTGGGGTGCTGCTGGGTTGGTCCCACAGCGCCGCCCCCCCGCACCCCAGACCCTTTATAGCCCCCCCCCCTTCTGATAGTCCGGCATATCTGATAATCCAGCACCCCCTGGGTCCTAAAGGTGCCGGATTATTGTAAATTTACTGTATATGGTTACTGGCCATACCTTGCCCAATATTCTCAGACAAGCTCCCATAGACTTAATTTGAAGTTCCTAGCTAGGGATGTTAAAATTGTATCTATCCATCTATCTAATCTGTAAATTAAAAACTAAATAAAAATAAGCTTATGCTTATCGGATATTCAACTAGTCACTTATATCTCTAATGGTGGCATAGCCTTAACGTTCTGCAAACTTATTTTTCTCTTATAAACAAGAAAAGCTGCTACAGCTGAAAGACAAGAGGGGAAAATATGCTCTCCCTGTGTTGGTTTATTCCTGTTGTTGGGAAGTGCCACTTGTGTTCCTCAGAGTGGCTTGTTTATGAAGGAAAAGAGGAAGGAGGCAGAGTGTGACTACATAGAAAACACCCTCAAATAACCAGTTATCAAGTGACTTCTCTTCTGTTTTCAGTCTGTTTTCTTGGTTCACTGAATAGCATTTTGCATATAGCCACTTATAATTATTTGAGAGTCATTCAGAGAGCAACAGCAGAGAGACACGTTAAAAAGTAAGAAAACGTGACCACAAGTTGACGGAGGACTCAGACAGCTGTGGCACTGAGTCTACTTTTAATGCTTCTTTAATTTTTTTTTAAAACAGATTTACTGATTGCTTTTAAACCAGTTCTATTTGGAGAAGTCACTACATCAAACATACTCAGACCCTTGTATATTCAGTCAGATCTTTGGAACAAGATAAAAATAGTAGTAAAAACAAGTGTACTATTTTTATCTTGTAAGCACGTCAGCACCCGTATGGCTTTGGGATTCTGTACTGAACAGCATAATTGTTAACTAAAAGATTCCAATTACGGGACAAAAATCTATTCTCGTTGATGCTTCTAAAATCCTGCTGCAGACAGTTGGGTTACAGGTAGTAAATGAGGGCCGTATTGTAGAAGCTTTGAGTGGAGATCTGTGAGCCAGAAAGGACCGTTCTTTGCACTTATGTTCTACTTTCAAATTGCAATGCTAGCAATTAAGAAATTATCCTGTAAACTGAGCATGTGATCGCTGTTTAGAAAGCAAATCCACTGATGCACACACATGGAACACACAATGGAGTTTCTACAGCTAATGCCTAATAGTACTTGTACATTGGCCAAACTGGACATTCTCTATGACAAGGATAAATGGACACAAGTCAGACGTCAGAAATGGTAACTCACTCACTCTTGTAGGGGAACATTTTATTCTGCCCGGGCACTCTAATCGTGGATTTAAAAGTAGCCTTTCTTCTACAAAAGAATTTCACCAGCCAATTACAGAGTGCGGAATTGGTGTTCATCTGCAAATTTGACAGTCCCTAGGCTTAAAACAGGGATGTAAAATTCTGGGTAACTGGTTAAATGTGCAGTTTGCTTCACGTTTAACCAGTTAATTGAAGAGGGCACTCCAGCCCAGCCCCAATGACCCTGGCCAGACTGGAGTGGCCCACCACCACAGGCAGAGGCCTGGGCATTCCCCCCCACCTCAGCCTGCCATGGACAGGGGCTGCTTTGAGCAACTCCTGTCTGCAGCAGGCCCCACTGGGCTGGAGTTGCCCCCTGCCCGTAGCGGGCGGGGAGCTGCTGCAGCCTTCACTGGTAAATCGGGATCAGTAAGCATCACCCTTAACCTTTCACATCCCTACCTTGAACAAAGACATTAATTGAATGTCACATTATAAAGCTAGTCTTCCCTGCCTTTAACCCCTCATTTATATCCAGCCCACTTAATTAACCTCATTAGCACCAGCGCTACACTTGACAGGTTTTTTTTTTTGGCGGGGGGGGGGGGGATATTTTTTCCTTTCCCTGCAATAAAATGCTTGGGTTCTGTTATTCCTCACCAGCCATCTGAGGAAGTGGGTTTTGGCCACAAAAGCTCATGATGATACTTTTTGTTAGTCTAAGGCAGTGGTCCCCAACCATTTGGGGTTGCCAGGCGCCAGGGGGCGTGGCTG